CGAAAAAGCGATCACTGAATCTGAACTGCTATGAACGTATGTATTCAAAGCAAGCGCTGCGTTCGTAGCTACTCGAACTTAATAGCATTTTCGTAGATTTCACGAAAAATCGGACTACGATGGCTTCTATGATAGCCTTCGTACTATTATGACTTATAGATCGATTATGGATGGGAACGGTACCTCAGTTGGGTTGCCGATGGACAGCGCCACTGAAATGAAAATGTTTTTTTATTATGAATAGCAATAATTAAGTTTCATAAAGTTCAAGTTGGTACAATTTAAAAAAAAAAGTTGAAAAAAGAAATAAAGTATCTCAATCAAAATTTCCCGGCAGCCACAAGAATGCAGTTGCCAATATAGCAACTTAGTGGTTAGCTTTCAGTTGCTAGTTGCCATCGGGAATACCATTTCAGCCACTGGGCAACCAACTGAAGTACGGTTGTCCTCCGTAATCAACCCATAAAATCGGAATCGAATATGCATGCACGTTCTGCAGAACGATAAATATTTTGTAAATGTGTGCTCTGCCCGCTAACGAATTCCAGCCATGTGTGAAATATCGTATGTGAAGCCTCTGTCTGACATAACGTTTATCAAAGGCATGCCAGAAGATGTTTCATCATATGTTTTCGGCCATCGTCTTCTTCGATTAAGTTCATCGATACCAAAAACTTTACAACCTTTATGTGCCAGCAGCCCTTAGTGTTTTTGCCAATGACATGGTACTATTGCACTGTTAATAACCAAATTTTGCCGCAGTTGCATTCACACGTGATATAATAGCTAGTGTCGGCAAGCTGTGGGAATGCCCAGGAGATGGCGTTTGTTCAGCTATCGAAATCATTACACCGACGGCGATGGGCAGTTCTGCTGGAACATATTTACCACAGCAGTGGTTGCGGCGTTTTGTTCTGCAACAATAGCCTGCAATGATGACATGTCATATAATGTCGACGAACAAAGATATAAAATTTAAAATGACTAACCTTATTCCCAGCCGATTTGGGAGACCACCCTTGGTCACGTTCCCACGACAGTCGGGTCTACGTAACCGGAACGACCCAGATTTATATCTGGCCAAGGACTGTCACTCCAGCAACACTCCCCAAAAAGTCTTTGGGGAATTTGTATGCTGCTACAACAACAACAACCACCCTTGGTCACGACCAAAACGTATTTACCAAGATTCACCGTTGATGATGCTGTGCTTGTAGTTAATAGTCTGAAAATACAGAAAATTGCATTAATGAAATGGTATACACATCAAATAAATAAATTTTAATAATTTGTTTACCATTTCACAAACCGAATTACCAAGAAATAGAAACTCACCGCGATGCGATGCAGAAATAAAAACCAACACTGCTGCATTTTCTTCGTAAACAACACAAGCCCTCCGAGCAATCTGATCCGCAAAATTATTTTGTGAAAAATAATAGTTGAAAAGAGTTTTTACACATGATTATCACATTAACTCATAATTGCAAATTATTGTGATTATTTTTAGTTGAATATAATTTACCTTAGACTTTTTTTTTNGCAGAAATAAAAACCAACACTGCTGCATTTTCTTCGTAAACAACGCAAGCCCTCCGAGCAATCTGATCCGCAAAATTATTTTGTGAAAAATAATAGTTGAAAAGAGTTTTTACACATGATTATCACATTAACTCATAATTGCAAATTATTGTGATTATTTTTAGTTGAATATAATTTACCTTAGACTTTTTTTTTCTAATATTCTTTCTTTTGGGCCGCAAAAGCAACCATGCGTTCATTTCTAGTGGGGAAATTTGGTCCCCATGAAGGACTTTCACCACGAAACAGCTACAAAAACAAAAACCTTTTGTACTGGTATACTGTGCTGTAGGGATGGGTAGTGGGGGGTTGAAATTCGATTTTTTCAGAATTTCGAACATTGCCCAACCATTCGATTATTCCATTCGAAATTTGGTGGTGCAAATTCGATTTAGTTCGAATTTCAAAAAAAAAAAAAAATCTGAAAATTTAAAAGTTTGTTTGTAAGAATGACAACTCAAATCGAAAAAGAGATTCAGATGAACTTATATTAGTTTGATTAACTATCTATATCGCTCTTTTTTGCTTCACAACCAAAAATACATAGAAATAAATTTTATTTTTCAAAAAAATATCTAAAAAATCCAAAAATTTGGCAAATGTAGCATATTGAAACTAATTTTTTGGGGCATATAACATGATTTCATTTATTTTTCTTGCATCTTACTTTTAATGACAACGTATGATTATGCTTTTTAAGGCGAGATCTTTAAGTAAACCATTAACAAAATAGATAATAGGGCATGAAGAGTTCTACCCAGCCACATTTTTCGTTTGTCCACAGCTAAACGGCAGGTAATTTTGACTCATGCAAAAAATTTCACTTCACATTTGACATCAGTGTTGGAAAATGGAATGGCAATCACCTGCCACAAAAAATTTGACGACAGCCTTTGAAATGCACTGCGATATCTACATTTGGTCAGTTTCTAGATGTATTTGACACCAAGTGAACAGCTGTTATTTAAAGCAGTTTTTGATGTCAGTTATTTCGACATAATGAAAACCAGACATTAGATAAAGTTTTAAGATCATAAAGCATCTGAAATGTTATTTATTTTTTATGAATTTATTTGTATAGCTGGGATGTGTAACTATAAATAAATTTCACTGTGAGTTAATACTTAAACATTTATGGTGACGTGCATTAATGTCAATCGAATTAATGCCGCTGACATTAATACACAATTGAAAAGTGAATATTAATGTCATTAACATTACTGCACGTCACCACATTTATCGAAGTTCCAATTATTCCATTTTCTTGTATATTTTTAATTCATTCGCTGCATCAAAAATATCTATTTTTATATGGTGCCACACACAGAGATGCCAAATTTTGTCAGAAAGAAGAAAGTTGCAGAGCTGATTTTTTGCAAATGAAGACGAAATTCGATTTTTTCTAGAAAAATTCGATTTTATCCGAATTTTAGCACCACAAAGTTCGATTTCAAAAATTCGTCATTTTAGAGCTAAAGTTCGATTAAAACTCGAATCTCGAAGCTTCGAATATCAAATTTACCCATCCCTACTGTGCTGTGGAAAAAATAAGAGCACGTGTGGTGACATTCTTCCTAGTAAATTTCACTAAAGCCTAAATTTCTAAAAATAAATTTCTGTAAAGCCGAAAATAACACAATGGTTAAACCAAAAAAATCTAAATTGGCATCAACTAAAAATGTGGCGTTGGTTAAACAGTTGGCCGAAGGAAAAGTCACAAAACGGAAGAGTAAAGAAAAGGTCCAGCTGCGAGCAGAGGAGTCTTCGGTCTGTTCAACTTTTAAATTTGTATGAGTGGACAACTAATAATTTTTCCTCCGTTAAGGTACTGGACAGTAAGACAAGTAAAAAAATTTTAGCAGCGGCTAAAGCGCAGCAATTGGAATTTAACGAAGATAATTTTCCAAGCCTAGAGCGGAAAAGAACCTATGCTAACATAAATATAGGTGTGTTGAAAACTATTTGTGTGTTTAGTTATTAGCCCACTGCCTTTGAGTTAGCGGGCGGAGGGCGATTGTGGTTTGCTTTTGATATCCAAGCCACTTGAAATAACAGTTCAAACTTTGTAAAAAGTCGCACCTGACCCCTCGAAACCTTCCAAAGACCCAAAAATGGTAATTAGCAACTTGACAACGGAAATATATAAGGGTAAACAGTATTTGGATGGGCTTTAGATTGGTAACCCGGTAGTACGGAATTAATGAAAATATGGAGGTAGAGGGGGGTCTAATAGTTGTCTGTATGAAGTTTCAAAGCGCGGAGCCTTATAGTTTTTAAGGAATTTGTTGTTAAAATTTGTAAATTTAACAAACTAGAGTGTGCACGACCAAACAAATAAATACTTTTAGTATATTCAGCTTTTTTATGAAAAATTCATTGTTAAATTATATATATATATTTTTTTGATATGTAGACACGTCCGTGATGAATATAAAAAGTTTTCCTCTTAATTCCAAGGTTCATAGAGCCTCATAATACCAAAAGTAAAAAAAAAAATATTCAAAAGTGGTTTTGGGTAGCTATTAGGGCTACCTCAAATTTGTGCAATATATTGTACAAAAGTCCACAAAGGAGTAAAAGCACTCAAGAAAACTCAATAAATATTTCACTAAGTTTGACGGAATAAAACATTTATTTCATTGAAAATGAACTTGTGTATGTACAAAATAATTGATTTTACTGCAGATATGTTGGAATGAATATTTTATATCTTTTTAAGTATCTATGGTTAAGATTTGCATTAAAAAATTTTAAATTTTCTCCATGAAAAGAGAATTATATAAAGAAATTTTGAAAAATTTTAGATACAATTACAATATATAATACAAATGACCCGTTTTAATAAACCTTCCCGGTTTTTCTGCCTTCAGTAGATCAAGAAATCAAAAACCTACCCTTTATGCAACAACAACGCACAAGCTCTTCAAAAACCACGGCAAAAACCACCTTAATTGCCTGTTCAACTGCAACCTTTGCGGACGTTTGTACAAGATATTGTACATTTTTTTTACCACTCGGGGGGAAAAATATTTTTAATCATGATAGTTAAATTTTAGCATTTTTATATGATGAAATGCTTTTTATATTTCCATACTATGTGCTTTTATTAGCGATTTTACTTGACTTTCACGTATTTTTTGTACAGTAAATTACCACAACTTGCGTGTCACTGGAATTTTATAAAATGGTATATTTTTAAATTAAATTCTAAAAATATTTTTGAAACGTTTTCGATTTTGAGACTTATGTAAACTATTCGGGACATTCCAAAACTTCATAAAGTTTAATTTGTTTTCAAAAATTATAATACGATTTTTCCATCTACGATACCAACTTCATTGAAAGCGATTAGTTGAAAGGCCGTTTATACCAGGGCATGAATTACGTATGGCGACAATCGTCTGAACGATATCGTGTCGATATTGTGTTGCTTCATGAAAACCAAAAATGGTTTGATCGTTTGTGCGATATCGTCAACTCGATTCCAGTTTTGCGTAACAGTAATTGTAACACGTAACAGCAACACAAATGCATAAATCAGTGATTTTACGAGGTCGTTTTGTCAGTATCGTTTGAACGACTATCGTTTCAAAGTTACGTGATTCAGGCCCAGGCGATTGTTGCTTTTAACTGAAAATCGCCTGAAAAATCGCCTCATGCAAACTCCCTATTAGTACGACTTTTGCTATATAGCCGATAGAGTTGACAGCAACAATGAAAACGCTCATTAAGCTGAAATTAGTCAAGAACGTAAACCTACCGGTACGTAAACCCGAGTCAGCTGACACGATGTGTTGTACTAAAGCGCCATGTAAATAAAAACTCAACACCGCAGAATTTTCCAGTAGTTGTAGCTCGTAGCGCAGAAATCTGCGGAATTTAGATTTTTCCGTGTCAGCTGATTTCTTCCTTCTATAGATGGTTGCCACTTCGTCAGTTTTGCAGATCGAAAAAAAGTTATAAGTTCCTATTCAAAATAAACTTAAAATATTTGAAATTTACTATTGAATAAGGTTCTTTGTTGAAAACTAAGTAGTTTATATTTATCTACCATCTATTATAACACGAAAAATTGTAGTTGAAAAGGTAAGTTTATGAAAAGGCATTGACGAGTGGCAACACTGTAGTAAGCAACACTGAGGGCTCTAGTAATCGACAAAATTCTGCGTATACAGACTGCGTTTAAGTATACGTTCTGCGTTNCGAAAAAAAGTTATAAGTTCCTATTCAAAATAAACTTAAAATATTTGAAATTTACTATTGAATAAGGTTCTTTGTTGAAAACTAAGTAGTTTATATTTATCTACCATCTATTATAACACGAAAAATTGTAGTTGAAAAGGTAAGTTTATGAAAAGGCATTGACGAGTGGCAACACTGTAGTAAGCAACACTGAGGGCTCTAGTAATCGACAAAATTCTGCGTATACAGACTGCGTTTAAGTATACGTTCTGCGTTCTTGACTAATTTCAGCTTTAGTTATCAATCTGTGGCGTAGCCAGACCCAGGGTTGCCACTTTGGTAAATTGTTACCAAAATTGGTAGAACAAATTTGGGTTGGTAAAAAGGTAAATTTTTTCTCATTTTGGTAGATTTTTGTTGAACTTTTCGTTCCCGATTTATGTTTCGTAGTTATATTTATATTATAAATTTCTTTGCATACTTACATATATATAAATGTATATCGATATAAGGCGAACATATCGTGCTCCATTCAAAACTCATTATAAAAAAGTTATTGGTAGATATTTTCCAGATTTGGTTGATTT